GCATTTGCGTTTGTAATTTGTTATTTTGTTTTCAGAATTGTGATTTGTTTTGCACTTCTCCGTCACCGTAGTTTCATCTACCGGAGTCTCTCCTTCATCTGTGTCTGACTCCGGTTCATACATGTATAGCTGAATACCAGTTCTCTCGCTGTCAGTCATGTTGCTTCTACCGACTGTTTATTGATGTAGGTATGCAAAGCAGAGATGTATACACTATGCCCTCTTCTGAAGACTGGGCAGGAATATGCAGCTCATTTGCATTTAAAGCGATATACACCAAAACAGCACTTTTTTAGACAGGCCCCAAAAATTACATTTTCAATATGTTATAATAAATGATCTGTGGGGTATTTTGAGCTGAAACTTCACAGGCACATTCTGGGGACACCTAAGACCAATATTACATCTTGTAAAAAGGGGCATAATAGGTGCCCTTTAAAGAATAACATAACCCACATCCTGATCCATAAATATTCCTGTCCTCATGCATATATTTGTGCATTCAATCAATCAAGTAGGGATCACTGCATATCTTCATAGACCAGTGATGAACCTACTGTTATCTTCCTGTTTCCAAGGTAATGAGAACATGACGTATTTGGACATAGGCGTGACCATAGATATATACGTAGATGCCTCATTCGCGACTGTTTCTATGGGCCGCGGTACGTAAGCCATCCGCCATTTTTGGAACGGTCTGCGAGCCTTTGAGCGTGTTGACTGTGTGCGTCTACAACAGCAGGTTATACACTTGTATATCTTTGAATATTCATTGATTATTATGGTGAATGACGTCAAGTTGACTGTTCCAAGATGGTGGACGCGTCAACGTATCCGGAGTGGTCGAATAGGGCATCTATACATATCTATGGGTGTGACAACAGGGCATGGCTTCTGACGTCACACTTGGATGTGGGCCAGGTGGGATGTCATTGATCCAAAAAAAACCAACAACAAATTCACTGCAGGCTGCAGTGAAATAGAACCAGATCTCTTTCACAGTTTAATATGATTTTAATAACTCTTATTAAATATCAAGCATGTCATGAAGTTACGTTACATGATTTGAACGTTAAATTCGGGCATTTATATGGAAAGGCAAATTATCAAGCATCACTGTGTTTCATATACGTTATCATGTTTTTATAGTACTTGTAAATCGAAACCGAAACTACAATGTGATTCATTGTACAACCCAAATGTCATAAAGGTCTTAACCCATTTAAGCCCACCGGCAACTATAGTTGCCGCAGTTTATAGTTGTCATTTTCCTTTTATAAGTATTTTTCTAGATGTTATCCATGTTTTATTTCTCAATGACATACAAGCAAAGAAAAGAGGTATTCACTTCCTTCCTGTCACATGGACCTGACATCATCTAAAGAAAACAAATCTTGCAGGAGATCTATAGTTTTTTGTATACTTAGTCAAAAGTCCAAGCGGCAACTATACTTGTCGGTGGGCAAATGACTTGTAAGTACATATGGGGAAATGGGGTATACTGTGTTAATAGGTTAATGAATCAAGGTTATTGGTCTTGTTTTCTGCTTTTTGCTTTCATAATATCCCACCTAAAACATGACTTAACCCTTTAACTGACATCTCTACTGTACAGTAGACCTTAATTTGATAGGGAATAAATCTGTCAAAAGGAGGAGAAGAGAGAGCAATCTTTCCACAGCTCTACGGCCCCACTTTTGTGTCTGCTTTTGCCATGAGGGGTGGGCTTTACAGTTTTCAAGTGACCACAGCAGTTTACAAACTTCCGTCCGTCCCACAAAAGGAAGGATGGAAAGCTAAAACATGGGATTAATTTCTGTAGATTATCTTTTTCTCCCTTTTATGACATTATATTAAATCACCTACTACATTCAGCCATTGAATACTATGGGCCTAAAAAAAAATTTAATTTTCTTTCAGGTATACCTTTTTTATTATATAGATGTATTTTCTTCATTCTACTTATTTTTATTTATTTATTTTCATTTAACTAACACACCTCTAAGAATGAAAATACCTGCATGTTCAATAATAAGTAAATAAATAAACAAACAATCATGGGTGTAGCCTACACATGATAATTATTTAAATAATCATATATTTTAAAAAGAATATCATTAATTTCATGAATATCAAGGACTTTTGTCAGGGTTAATCCATTTGACCTAATCAATATGTGCCTATTCATAAAATATGTGATATTTTACATATTTACATCACAAAGTATAGTATGCAATTATGTAAAGTTATAAAACTACTTGTACCTTCACTGCAGTACTCCTTGTAGGCTACTATTTAGGTCCTAGGCCATTGAGTGATTTATAAACGAGTAAAAGTACTTTAAAATCAATCCTAAATATAACTGGAAGCCAGTGTAAGGACCTGAGGACTGGTGTGATATGCTCAGATTTTCTGGTTCTAGTCAGAATTCTGGCAGCAGTGTTCTGGATGAGCTGCAGCTGTCTAATGGTCTTCTTGTGAAGGCCGGTGAGGAGACCATTACAATAGTCCACCCTGCTGGTGATAAAGGCATGAACAGGTTTCTCCAAGTCTTGACTGGAAACAAAATATCTAATTCTTGCAATGTTTTTTAGATGATAGTATGCTGATTTAGTTACTGCTTTGACATGACTACTGAAACTAAGGTCTGTCTCCAGAATCACACCAAGATTCCTGACTTGATTTTTAGTTGTTAGACCCCTAGAGTCAAGGTATGCATTCATCTTGAGAACTTCATCTTTGTTTCCAAATGCAATGACTTCAGTTTTCTCCTTGTTTAACTGAAGAAATTTTTGGCTCATCCAACTGTTTATTTAATGCCGAGGATGACTCTAGCCTACAATCCTCTGAAGGACTGAACTAGGAAGGACGCAGCCTCGGTAGGATGCAGCCTTCCGTTTGAGAAACACCCAAAGTGTCTATAGTGCACTCAGTGTGCATACTATAATAGAGTGTCATCTAGAGTACTACCGATCTATCTTTCCAAGCTTGGCTCCACCATCTGGAATAAAATGTGAGTTGGTATGATTCAGACAGGAATCATTTAGAGTTTTTTTATTTTCTTTTGCTTACTCAAGACACTTGATTAAGGTTCTCTGTTAGCAAAAAGTCATTGTTTAATGTCATGACTGAAGGGATGTCAAAATAAAAGGGACTGCTGTAGAGAACTGCAATATTAAAAAATTAAAAGTGGAAATTGCTTTAAAATGACCTATTTTAGACATGACATTTGAAATGACGTTGATGAAATTACATGACATTTTTTATGTATTTCATACATAACTTAAGACAACTACATTGTCAATGTTTAATGATAAAAAAAGAACGTTCCCACTATTAAAACTGTTAAAGTCTTAATAAAAGCCATGTATGAACTAGGAGGGTCAAACTCGGCCCAGCTTGATTGTTATAAAATTGTCTGATTGTTCTTTCTTTATTTATTTTATTTCTTTATTTATTAGAAAAGCATAGCAAACCACTGCTATAAACCATCTTTAACCACTGCTTGTAATTGTTTGTCTGGATCTGTTGTACCATATGGCGACTAACAACCAATTCTTGCTTTTTTTACTCTCTTGTGTACTGTATATTCATATTTTGCTCTTCCTTGTCTTTTGTTCATCATCTTCGCTTATTTTTTGCTTCGCTTCAGCTATGATAAATAGACATCCACTCTTGCATTGCATGTTCGTGCATTTTGGGGGTGGAGCAATGAAGGGAGGGTTGATTTTGGATTGATTTCAAATATGATCTAATAAAACACTTTATTTATTCCTGAGTAATAAAACTGATAAAAATTCTAACTGTGTCATGTTCAAACTATACACTATTTGTTTCATTAACCTTTGCTGGAAGACACATTGTAACAAATAAATGCACCTACGTACATGCCAGGAATGCACACAATGAGAGCAAAATAAAGAGCCTAATTTTTACCATAGGTTAATAGGGTTAAAATACGCATAAACAAAAATGCTAAATAATACACTCAAATAATGTAAAATTGTAGA